ATAGGTATGGTCCTACACTATATTATTCAAATATAGCATGATAGGTCCACTTTAAATGTTTCTTGTTTTTTGAGGAGGAACACCTCTTGGAGAAGACCACAGCTGTTCTAGAAATGTGACTCCCAACGCTTGTTCGGCAAAGTTTGCCATTCAGCTTCATGGTTCTTTGAACTTTATTCAACTGAGGTGGCGCCTCATTCTGTCTCGATTAATCCTCTTTCCATTCAACTTAATAGAGGATTTAATATCTTGTTACATTGCCCAGCTAGAGTTTTTCTCCCAGTTCATTTCATATTGATTTCCAGGCAGTGAAAATGCCTACCATGAAAGTCAATATGTGTCTGCATGGTTTCTGCAAAGGAATCAACAGAGGAATACACCAGAGCTGAGGCAAGTGGCATGCATAGCCCCCCGTCCCCCCCGCCCCTTCTCTCTTATCCCAACATGCCTGGGAAGTACTGTAAAAGCACATAATTAACATAAAACTCATTAAAAATGTGAGCTTGGTCTCGAAATTCTTGCCAACCACCAGCGTTGGCCACCATTTTCGTTGCACCACCAACCACCATACATCAAAGATGGTGAGAGGAGACCAGATGGATTATGTAATGAGGATAAACAAGTCTCAAACTGTGGGGTGGGCGGGGGGATGATAAACGCTGTGCATAACTACACAACCCTAATTAAATTCCTCTCACCATGTCCTAACTTTCCCCAACAAACATTCTGCCATCCCTTTACACGACTTGTTCAAAACATTTTTTCTAATAAGTTTTTTAAAAATTGGTTTGCAACTTGTTTTGTAAAACGTGACTCCACGGACTGCTTCTTCGCTGTTGGTTAAAAACATTGTTGCTATGATTAAATAACTTTATTCATAACACGTAACCTGTGTTGTTTCAAGTAGCAGTTAATGATCTGTCATTTAAAATTGAGCGTCTAATTTTCCCCCCATGTTCCCATAGAGGATTTATGAGGATGCCTTTGGTGTAAAGAACCCTAGAGAGTGCAGATAATAAACATTTCCGAAATAGAGATGTATTGAAGGGCATTGTTTGAAAACCAAGCAACTCCCCTCTTCCTCCCCCAGAGGACAACACTTATTTCCATCACAGGAATTGAGTAGAGAGCTTGAAGCAACCCTAACAGAATTGATGCTAACGAGGCTAACGCTAGCAGGGAAGACCTAAAGACATGGTCATTTATATTTCAGCAACCAAATGCTAGTGTTGGCTGCTGTGAGCCCTGAGAGCCCCGGGGGCATCACAGAGGCTCGTAGTCTTCCCCGGGGGCACAGCACAGCTCTTTTCTGTGTTCCCTGGGGGGAAAACATTCAATCCCTTCTCTGCTCTTTATGGTGGCTTCCTAACAAAGAAAAGTTCACAAGACTTTCTTTAAAAGCTTTTTCTTTGGTGTTGCCTTTGTCTCTGAACTGCCTTTTTAGTTCCTATCGCTCAATCACTCTCTCTAAGACTTTTGTTGATGTCTGACGTGTGCTGCTGCCACCTGCCAGCGAGGAAAAATGTGACTAACCTGTTAATAACTCATCCAAGATTCAAGGCTTTTATTGTCATGTGTGCATAGCTACAGCTGTCGTTATGACAATGACAATCTTAGGTCCCAGGCGCCTCCAACAGTGCAACACAATAAAACAGATAAAATAGTGCAAGTAAATAAAATAAAATACAATATAATAGAAATAGTGCAAGAATAGTCTATATACTGTACAAGTCATTGGAATCCAAACCGCAGATCACCACCTTCCCTCTCTGTCCTGCGCTCCTTATCTCCATCACCCACTCTTTCTCACCTCTTCCTCACCCCATCCTCTGCTTCCCCTCATTAGTCAGAGTTTCTCACCTCAGTTAGCTTCTTTCAATGTCTTCCCCCCCGGCTGCCTAATTCCTCTCTCAGACAAATCTGTCTGAGTCACCCTCCATTTACCTCGTCTGTCTCCCTTGTCCTCACTGTCCTCTCTTCTTTTCTCCTTCCAGAGGGTACCCAGACGAAGCCATCGAGCCAGAGCTGATCGATGAGCGCCACCCCTACATCCACAGCATGTATTCAGCTCCTCTCGCCCTGCCAGAGAGGGGCAGCATGGCCAGTTTGGACCGCTTGGCAGGCCGGCGTTCCCCCTCCATCGACAGCATGCGTAAGGACCCGCGCTGGCGTGACCCCGACCTCACGGAGGTCATCGCCATGTTGGGCCACCCCATCGACCCGGTGAAGTCCAACGCTGCGGCCTACCTGCAGCACCTGTGCTACGAGAACGATAAGATAAAGAAGGACGTGCGTCAGCTGAAAGGGATTCCTGTCCTGGTGGGGCTTCTGGACCACCCCAAGTCTGAAGTCCACCGTAAGGCGTGTGGCGCCCTGCGCAACATCTCCTACGGAAAGGACAACGACAACAAGGTGGCCATCAAGATCTGCGACGGCATCCCGGGCCTCGTGCGCCTGCTGAGGAAGACCAACGACATGGAAGTTAGAGAGCTCATCACCGGTAAGAATACACAACTACATATTAAATACTTCTCCTTAGAGTTTTGACATCTTGTAGATTGTTGCTTTTATTTAAATTGTCTATTTGTTACTTGTACTAGTTTTATGGTGTGCGAACTGAGCTGTGTGATTTTTGTATGTTGATTTGTTTATTTGACTGGAAGTTAGAGAGCTCATCACCGGTAAGAATACACAACTACATATTAAATACTTCTCCTTAGAGTTTTGACATCTTGTAGATTGTTGCTTTTATTGCTTTTAAATTGTCTATTGTTTTTACTTGTACTAATTGTATGGTGTGTTTGTATGTTTGTTTGTTTGATTGTACAGCACTTTGGTCTGGAGGTTTTAAAGTGCTTTATAAATAAAGCTGTATTTAATGTAATGAGGTTCAACCGAAGTAGACAAAGTGTTAATCAACATGGCAAAGTTCGTTTTCATATGGCTTCATATCGCCTTTTTAAATTCTTGTGCAGTTGATTTGGTGACATCAAGTAAAGTAATCGAAGCAGCTGATCCTCGTCTGACTTCTTGTCGAGCCACCTTAGAAACGAAAAGATGAAATGGTAGGGTGGATGTTGACCTGGAAAGCAATTACTGTTTATTATCTTTGAATTATCGACATGATCATCATGTTCTGCTTTTACACATGAATCACGTCATAATGCTTGCCATTTTGCATATTGTGTCCATGTCTGAAAATATTCTACTTGTCAACTAGTTTATTTGCAAAGCTTGCCTTAAAAATACTTTCATATTTTCCCTTAAAACTAATTTTAAAAAACTGTTATATGGATAAAATATTATGAATAAGTGATGTGGATAGGTCTCATTGCATTCCTCCACTAAGACAGAATTTACAATTGGCTTGCCACTGGTAAAGATTCCTTTATTATGCAAAAAACCACCTGCAAAGCGCTGTAAATGCGAAGCCTGTTGGCTGTCTTCTCCACTAACTGTAGCATGTCTCTCTGCCTAATTAGTCTCAACTCTCTGTCACGTATGAAAGTGCTGCTTTGAAGCCTTTAAGCTGATATGATAGCACCTTAGTATGCCAGTCCCATCCAATCACTCGCTGCATACATCCATCGCTTATATATTCCATCCAGGAATATACTGCGTTGGCTCCCATAATCCCATATGCATAGTAATGCCATCTGAGTCATACTATAATAAGAAGCAGGGTACGTTTGCCACACATTATTGTCTTTTGCAGCTTCATTCACAATGTGCTATTTTCTCATCTCCGACTGCTTACATTATTTGATAAGTTGGTGCCCGAGGCCTCCCATATTAAGAGATACAATAATTGCTGAATTAGCACTGAGTTGCGTAACTCCCCGTATACTAGAGGGGAGATATTGCATTCAAAGCTGTAATTAGTCATTCTTTTAATTATAGTGGAGGCACATTTTAAGTAAATTGTCTTGGAGTTTTCTCTTCCTAACGTTCGTAAAAGAGTAGCAAGTGCTAATGAAGTAATTAGTCGCTCATAGAGATTTTTTTCTTTCAATCAATTGTCACAAAGATAATGGTTTTAAAGACATCACCACAGAAATTGTGATGTTTTATGACTTAAGGTTTATTACAAAAACAGTTATGAAGTGGAATGATTCTCCATGGAGAAGCAGATGTCATATGAACATTGATTTCAGAGGAAAAAGCTAATCGCTGCAAAGTGTAATGAAATATGTTTTAATTCCTTTAAGAGGAGCTATTGATTCAAACGCCATGATGGGGTTTTTTTCCCCCTTGACTTGGGAATACAGTGTGTGTGTGTGTGTGTGTGTGTGTGTGTGTGTGTGTGTGTGTGTGTGTGTGTGTGTGTGTGTGTGTGTGTGTGTGTGTGTGTGTGTGTGTGTGTGTGTGTGTGTGTGTGTGTGTGTGTGTGTGTGTGTGTGTGTGTGTGTGTGTGTGTGTGTGTGTGTGTGTGTGTGTGTGTGTGTGTCTTTCCGTGTGCTCAGCTAATCCCCAACATGATTGCTTTGACCTGACACACTTTGGTATGCTCTCTTCGCCATCGGAGAAGGGGCTTTTGTTCTCGGGGCACATGTGTTGAAAAATGAGAACCACTTTAAAGTGAGATGCTTGACCTTTGAGATGTAACCGCCAAGTGTTAAATACAGAATACGTTCCACCCCAAGACGTAAAAATAGTTACTTTTGTAGTTATTGGTACCACTTTACAATAAGACTACCCTTATAAAGGATTGATAAAGGGTTGATAATTAGGTTATGAATTAGGTTGTAAACACTTTATTAATCATTAAGAACCATTTATAAACCAGTTCTAACATAGTTTTCATACATCAACACAGGCTCACTATTTGGCAAGATGACTAAGCCTTATATTGGCTACTTGGCAAGAATCAACTCAGTGAGCAACAGATACCAAGGATGCTGGCTGATGAAGAAGACGAAGTAAGCTAGGTAGCCAATATAAGACTTAGCAGTACAGATACATGTGGGCTCACTATTTGGCAAGCAACCGGTCACAGTTGCCCTGTCTATCTCATGTCTTATAAAAGCTTATTAATGACTTATAAAGTGTTAACAACCTAATTAATAAATGAATTACAAACTATTCGTAAACCCTTTATAAGGGTAGTCTTATTGTAAAGTGGTACCGAGTTATTTTTACAGTTTGAGGAAGAAAAAGCTGGCTGTGGCCCTGAAGAGGGAATCTTGAAGTATTGATACGAGAGGCAGAATGAATATCTCGTTTCAACCCATAAGCCCCCTTTCCAATTCTCAAGGATCCTTCTTAGAACATTCTGCCACTAATACCTCATTTTAATGTATATTAAGTTATTTATCTTAAACAACATGTACAATGCTCTAACGTGATACTTTGATGGACCTCAAGCCAGTGGAAGAACAAACCACTTAGCCCTTTTAGTTTTATTATGAAGGCCATTTCGTCACTTTAAGACTTCAAAATGCAATATTTTGTGTGTATTGTGTGTGAACTGTATGTTGTGCTCTGAATAGTGAGTAAAATGTCCATTGTATGTAAATGTAATGGACAAAAAGGTAATCTGAGTCTGTAACTCCCCATATACTAGAGAGGATAGTTAGTTAGTTAGTCATTCTTTTAATGACTAAGCCAATAATATGGACTACTGCATCTAAATCACAGAAAGCGCAATATTTTGGTTTAGAAGAAATATGTAAAAATATAATGTACGATGGTGGTGCTGTTGAAAAAATGACACCAAGATCATTTAAATGTATTTTTCAATGATCATTTCAGTGAATATAGTATTCCAAAAACAATCATTCCCTCTAATATGGCGAATCATATCGCAATTATGAGTCAAGATAGTACCATACTTTTCCAAATCAGTCAGGCGTAGCATTGATAGTGATACGAGTCTTTAAAAAAAACACGCTTGTTAAGTTGTTGTGTGTGTGTGTGTGTGTGTGTGTGTGTGTGTGTGTGTGTGTGTGTGTGTGTGTGTGTGTGTGTGTGTGTGTGTGTGTGTGTGTGTGTGTGTGTGTGTGTGTGTGTGTGTGTAGTGTGTGTAAGTGTGTGTAGCTCTGCTGTGACAGAGATGTGGCGCTGAGCGATGACTGTGCCGCAGCAGAAATGATTGCCTTTACAGCACCGTGTTGCTCCCCATCGTAGCTAAAAATAACCCTGCACCACAAGACAAGGAGGACAGAATGGAGGGAGGCCTTTCTATTTTTTCTCCTCTTCCCCTCTCTCACTCATTAACCCCCCCCCCCTCCTCCTCCTTTCTGGCTCAATCTAATTTCTTCTCCCCTTCATTCATTATCTACACTGATTTTCTCCTCCTCTCTCACTGTTTTCCTAGTCTTCTCCAGTCTAATGTTTCCATAGTGAAAACAGACCTGTCACAATGCGAGCTCAGCTTACAGCCTCAGCCCGTGTGGCTAAAATTGGCCGTTTTTTTCTACAATTAAATATGGGTTTAAATATAGGCCCCCTTTTCTTAGCCCATGTGTTTTAATAGTTTTCTGAGTTTGTGCTGTGCCTGCAAAACCACAGAGAGCTCTGTTTTCTGCAGGGTGACGTGGAAGGGGTTTATTTTCCAACACACACGACAGGCGGACCAGTCGCTGATATTTTTAGAGCTTTGTAACGTTCACAGTTATTTTATTTTCCCTCCCGGTAGGCTCTAGGCTGTTTTTGCCCTGCAGCTATTCCCTCTGTGGAAATGTAGATTATTAAGCGGATTTGTCTCCTGTTTTTCCTGCAAGAGATGTCTGTGTCTTGTGGTCTGACACGTATAGAAAGGTGCCTCCTGCTTGTGTTGTTTGGATGACAAATGCATATAACGCAAGTTTAAGCTAGAAGAGAGATGATGTCTAGACACTCATGTATATCTGTGCCAAGGTTATGTGGGTTTTACATAAAAAACACATCACTATTTACGCAATGTTTTGTTCTAAAGCACCTAAATGTTTTAACATAGAGGGCTTCTGAATACTAAAACCTTATAAAGAGCTTTAAGGATCAGCTGCAAGGTTAAAGCCAACATAATGCACATACTATGTACAGCTTTCAGAGATGCAAAATGTCAGCCATCTTAATGAAAATCCTCTTAAACTAACATCTTTTGATTTTTGACGTTTTGGTTAATTATATAAAGCATACGCTGAAAGTAATTAATTGTATAAGTGAACCGATACTGACTCAACGGCTGAGTCGGATACTCGGGACAAATCTGCTAACTTATATATCATTATTTTTAAGTAATAGTTCCGTCATTGTAAACACATATTTGTCTTTTTAACCTCTCGTTTTACAAAGTAAAAAAACGCAATGATCCCAGTCCACACAGTGCAGTTTCAATAACGTAAATCAATATTGACCGATACTTAAAGCTCAGGTTTTTGTATTATGTCTGAAAAAGTTAAATTTGGTCACTTCCTAATAAAAGTTCCAGCTGAGGGGAGCTCAGGGGATACTAATATGAGTATGTAAAATACTTATAATACCCCTTATAAATTACCTTATTTCTCAATTATTCTTATC